ACCTCCTTTTACTTTTTTTTCTCATTTCTTTCAATTTTGCTGCTTATGTTGATATAGCTTGAAATGCTATAATTTTTATTTTTATAGCATTTTTTAAAGTCAGCTGAGCTGATAAATTTAATGAGCTCCAACATGATTGGGACCAGTAGTCAACTAAAACAGAGAATAATTTTTTTCTAAATGATATATATACCTTACGTATTATTTTATCCTAAAACATAAATATGTATTAATTTGCCAGTTTTTAATGTGGAGCCAAATTGGGTGTGGGTCCACCAATTGTAATTAATTCATCTTTTTAAATATAATCCACACTCAATGTACTTTTTCTGTTTTCCAGTTTCAGTTTCTGCAAAGTAAAGCATGAACCTAATAAAACTTTCAAAGCAATCTGATTATAGAATCCTAGGAGTTTTTTTCTCTACATGAGTTAGCAGCAGTTTTTCTAATAACTTATCTTTATAAATTCTTTCTAAAATATCCATATGCATTTTCAAAACAACTTTTTCATTAATTTAGACAATTTCAGTTACATAAGTAGTATTAACAAGTACAAATGACAAACCATTTGAAATCAAGCAGCTGACTCTTGGTAAACATGTAAGTCATTTAGACAACTTCTACTTAATTCAAATGAGTACGTAGAGATTTCTTTTAAAAGTCTTCTTTACTGGAGTATATATTTTCATCTTTTTGAATGCATTATAAGGCAATTCTCAGCTGGGTTGAGTGAAGCTTATAATCTATGTGTATTTTCCAACTACTCTAGTTTTCCTCAGTCCAGACTTCTGTAGTTTTTCGTATACTCTTTCACCCTCAAGGTAAGAATAGCTGCTACCAAAGGGAGTGTTTATACCCCTCAAATGTGATTAGACAGGAATAATGTTACAAGCTCAACTATACTTCAGTTTTCAATTTTCAGCAAAGAATTTTCTGGCCAACAATTAATTTAATATTTTAAAATAGGATTTAAAATCTTCAGCAGTTTATAAAATATTTTTTGTACCTCGTTTTAGTAAGAAATAGAATGAAGTTTCCCTAAGGTCAGAAGCATGAATTTAGCTCACAAAAATATTTATAAATATTTTAAAATCTGGAATTTGGTTTCTCAAACTCCTAAGATCCACAAAAGTTCTTAGAAATTCTACAAGGATAGTGAGAAACAGTCTTCTAAATACCTCTCCCTAAACTCTGTTAGTTATTTTTTCTATTTACCATTTTTTCCTAAATAATGTGCTCATATCATTTCTACATTTATTAATTTCAAACATTATCTGTTGGCTTCCTGTTATGGATGAAAGGATTTGATCTTCTGATACCATCTTATTCTCTCTTNTCTTCCCCTCCCTCATCGTCCCAATATATAAATATTAGATATAGATATTCCACCTTTATATTAAATCAGTATTCATGGTGGCTATGTAAATATGGCTAAGCCATGAATTTATACTGTGACTATATATTCTTCCTAGTACAGTTTTTTTGTTCCTAGAATTTATTGCTTAATTTTTGTCTTTGCTTGATTTTCTATGCAACTATAATAAATTCTTTCTAAACTTTCCAGGGAATTGCAAAACCTCACTGAATGCCATTTCCTACAGGGTCCTCCAAAAACATCAGTGTTCTCATTTTAATTTTCCCAGAGGCATCTCTCCGGGAGTCTAGTCTCTTCCTGTTTCAATCTATAACTGTGACCATCTGTAGCTAAATGTAGATATATGAAGAACCACAGATGGACTATGATAATGGGGAAAAGGTCAATATTTAATAAATGCTTTTAGAAAACTGTTTAGAAAAAAAATGAATTTAGATTAATACTTTATACTGAAATTTCAGATGTTTTAATAAGTTAAGCCAAAGTAAGTAAATGTTAGAAGAGTATAATTACCTCAGCTGTCCAAACAGGTTGTTTTGGTTCAGTTATGGAAATAAAAAGAAATTAATGACAGGATTAACTACAATCTTAAAAATCTATGTGTACTGAAAAGTAAAACTGAAATAAAAAATGAAATAGGGAAAATGTTTACAATATTAGATAAGNAGTAAGTAAATGTTAGAAGAGTATAATTACCTCAGCTGTCCAAACAGGTTGTTTTGGTTCAATTATGGAAATAAAAAGAAATTAATGACAGGATTAACTACAATCTTAAAAATCTATGTGCACTGAAAAGTAAAACTGAAATAAAAAATGAAATAGGGAAAATGTTTACAATATTAGATAAGTATCTGTAATTATTAGATTAGCTTAATATTCATTAATAGCTGTTAAAAATTTTTAATAGCAATACCCTTTCAATTTCTGGCAAATGGTTAAAGAACATGGAAAGCTGACAAAATGGAATGTAAATATGAAACATTAATAAAGAACCACAAATTAAATCAAATAGTAGGTTTTACCTCAGACTTAAATGGGCAGCTATGTAATTAATTGACAGTGAAAAAAATGAGTTCACTTATGCATTACTCCTGATGTAAATGTAATCTTTCTGGAGTCTCATCCAGTAGAAAGCAACAAAAGCTATAAAAGACAACATTCCTTTTTGATAGGATCATCCGATTTTTTGTAATATAGTCTGCAGAAATAACTCTCAAAAGAAAGGAGATATCTTTTTTTACAAAAACATGCTATATATGATAGGAAAAAAACTGAGAAAATGAGACAAACTGTAGTTTGCTGGTATAAAAACATATTAAAAATTATAGCAGTCTATTACTTTATGAAAAAAGTTATTAACAAAGTGAGAAAAAAAAGGCAGAAAACAAAAGCATATGTATAATGATAATATTAATTATGCCTAAAGATCAAAGAGTTTGTAAAACTGATTAATGGTTGCGGCCGGGGGGGCGGGCAGGGCATTAAGGATGATTTGGAGAAGGAAGGGAGATGGATGTGACTATAAAGGGTAACACAAGGGAGATCTTTGTGGTGATGAAATATTCTGTATCTTCGTTGCAGTGATAGTTAAAGGAATCTACACATGATAAAATGGCAAAGAGCTATACACAGGCATTATATCAATGTCAGCTTCCAAGTTTTGATGTTATGCAGTTGTTATGTAAGATGTAATCATTGCAGGAAACCAGGTGAAGAATACATGGGACTTCTCAGTATGATCTTTGCAACTTCCTATGAATCTATCTTTATTTCAAAATAAAAAGTTTTTTTAAAGTTCCTAAAATCTTATAAATTAGGTGGCATACCAAGGTTAAAGTGGGATTTTGTGGTGTTTTGTTTTATGTTTTGCTTTTTTGTCCATTTTTTTTTTTACGTTTTATAAAGTTCCTAAAATCTTATAAATTAGGTGGCATACCAAGGTTAAAGGGGGATTTTGTGGTGTTTTGTTTTATGTTTTGCTTTTTTGTCCATTTTTTTTTTTACGTTTTATTTTTTTCCATGTTAGAATTGGTTGAATATACAATTGTTTTAAGCATCTGTATATTTTCTTCATAAGTTATGGAACCAAAAGTCATAAATTTTTCTATCACCTAGATATTTCTTTTTTTGTTTTTCTTTTAGTATGTCCCAAGAGTTGTAACTTCTGCACAACAAAAAGCTGGAAGAACTATTACAGCCCGGATCACAGGAAGATGTGATTTTGCTTCAAAAAATAGAATTAGTAGCAGTTTAGCTATAATGGGAGTTTCTCCTCCCATGAGTTCGGTTGTTGTGGAAAAACATCACCCAATCACAGTGGTAAGTCCACATTTGATGCCTTTTTGTCAAAAAATCTTTTTTGAGAGTTTATAGATTAAATGACATGTAGAGAAAATAATTTATGATGACTGGTACTTATTCTGCCTTTTACTATTATAGTCTTTTTGTACTTATACTTACCCAATCTAATCCACCTTTCCTCTGTTAGGAAATTAATTTCAGATATATTATTTCTTCCAAACAGTATGAAAAATATCAAATACAAAAAGTAATCCAGTGTATTGGTGGCTAAAAGGGTAAAATATATAAATGATTTCTCATTAATTTAAAAATAGACTAAAACTGTTCACTCACTAACCAGCTGTTTATGTAGCAGATATTTGATTCCAAGAAAATGTCCCTACTTTTATCGTTTTTACTTTTTGCTCTTTATCTTTAAAGTCTTTTTCTAGTTTTAAAAAAATTCAGCTTACAATAAATTCATGTGATATAAAGGAAGGTGCAGGAGATTTGAAACAAAAATTTAAAAACCCAAGTTAGTGCCTCCACTTTGCTACTTACCTTTGTGACATACACAAATCAAGTAAAATATTTGAGCTTCCAGTTTTTCTTCTGTAAATTGAGATTGATCCTAATACTTAGCTCCTAGGATTATTGTCAGGATTCAGGATGAAATGAGATAACGTGAAAATTAAATGAGATGTAAAAGGCACTTTGTAAATAGTAAAACCATAAGCAAATTTAAGTTAAAAGTTACTAGAAAATGATACATGGGAGATCTCTGCATTATTTCTTACAATGGCATGTTATCCAACAATTAGCTCAAAAAGTATAATTTTTAAATGAGTTATAAGAACATATCCGTAAAGAGAAGCAAGGATTGATTTTAAAAGAGAATGTCCTCTATATAAATCCTGTCTACTTAACATGTTCAAAGTATCAACAAAAAAGGTATATGGAATGATTTAAAATCCTTTTTTTCCTGGGCACTAGCTGGTTAGTAGATGATTAAATCAAGAAAAGCTGGATTGATTATTTAACTTGAACTTCAGGTAAAGTATGACCTCAGTGAAATGGAAGACTACATGGAAGCAGCAAGCCCAGATAGAGACATGGAGACAGTGAAGGATTTATTTCAGGATTATGTTAGGTTTCATAAATTGGAGGACTCTGAAAGTCCATAGATAACTTCTCTCTATATTTTTTAATATGGAAGATTAGTTATGAGAAGAAATGTACCCATTTCTATTTTTATCAGCACACAATGTGTATAAAGAGATAGGAGAGACTGTCCATTTGTGAGATAAAGAAGGCACAAAAAGAGTGCATGTTTATGTCTAATTTATTAGAAATAATTTTTTTGTAATAATGATAGGAATCCATATTTTACAGAAGAAAAAGAACTAAAAACGTACAAACCCTGTTTCTGATATTTATCTCCCAAACTGCCCTCCACTTTTTCAGTATGTGCAGGACTTCCCCAGTAACTGGATATGAATTAGATAACCATGAACTACTTCCATTATTATCTAATTTGAATTGTGACAGACACGATGGCAGTCCTCTGTACTACATTTCATTTTATCTTGGGAATCTAGATCTAGAACTACCAGAAATGGCTACTGCTAATAAACCAAGGATCAGATTTGTGGCCCCTGAGTCCCATCTACTGGATAATTGCTTGTTGCTTCTGCTCCTTCATTCTCTGCCACATTTCATATATCATAATACCAGTGGCAACTTTATTTCTACAGTTCCTCTTGTCCATCCTCCCCAAGGAGAAATTTTTTGATAGGGTCAGACTAAGTGATTGGCAACTAAAATTTCGTACCAGTTGGAAGACTATCTCCCATTTGTAATGGTTATCCAGTTATTTATGTACAAAGACACATTTATATAAGACACTTTAAGAAAGGTTATTTTTCCATTTCTTTAAAGAGGAGTTCTATTTTTAAAGGTCCCCTGACATGGGGACCTTTTGTTTTTAAGAGGTTCCATTCATTTTTTTAAAGCAAAAACTGCATCTGAGAGTTTTTGAAATATATAGTGAATGTTTTGACCAAATATATACAGTTTTACTTCAAGTATTTCAAAGATGACTTTTCTGAGTGGAAGACCCTAATAGAAATCTATATGTACTAGTCAGTGACATGGACTGAGAACTTACCTTGAGAACAAGTTCCCCTGCTGCTACTAAGAAGCTGTATCAGGTATAATAGAAGAAAGCCTGTGCTTATACATATTATACGTATTGTTTATATGTATACATGTAATGTGTACTTGTGTACATAATATGTACTTACACATATTACATGTGTGGACTGAGTCACATGTGCCCTGACTTTCATGCTTCAGTGTTCATGTCCAAGATGTGCCCCTGAGCTCTGAGGTAGTGTACATAAAAGATTTAGTCAGCTCCCAGGTAAACCAGGTGAAGTGTGAGGGCTCTGCTTTACTCTGGTTTGAAACAAGGCTCAGAATGGATCCTCAGGGCTTGCCCATGTCCCCTGGGATTAGCCTCCAGTATTAACAGTCAGGTGGAAGGAAGCTGGATAGAATGAGGGCATGGCTTGGGGCTGACCTCTGTGCCAAACACTACAAAGTTCCTTTCTGCACTTAGCCTCTGAAAACATTATAAGATGCCACTTGAGTCCATTTTGAGGAATGACTCCCATAATTCTTATCATCCTCTGGATATTTATATTATAGCTCTGATATTAACTTGTGGGTGTTGAACACATCAAACTGCGTACAGGTTCCTTATGGAGAAGGGCCTCATCTTGCTTGTTTTAGTGACTACTTCACCCAACTCATAGCTTCTATCTACTGGATACTTACATGTTTGTGGGGCTAAATTATAGATGATGGAATGATACTTAGTATATGTAATCTTGTGGGATTATTAAAGCAGATTTTTATCTTTTCAGCAAACTATTCCTCAGGCAGCTGCAGCAAAATATCCCCGGACCATTCATCCTGAAAGTACCTCAGCTTCCAGATCACTTGGAACCAGATCAGCTCACCCCCAGTCTCTCTCAAGCGTTCATTCCATAAAAGTGGTTGACTAAAGTGAATATGTTCATAGTGAGGTCTTTTAATTCCACTGGTTTTACCATGGGTAAAAAGTCTTTAGTGTTTAACTTTTCCATATTCTTAGAACATCATGGATGTATCATGTTCATCGTTTCAGAATGACAAGAGACTTTTTCGAGCTGTACCATCCTTTGTAACTATATGTAGAAATTATTTTAATGTTATTTTTTATTTAAGCAATTAAGTAAATTTTTTTTAAATTAAAAAAGAAACTGGATTTTATTTTGTTAATATGTTCAGCCTGTCACTAATTACATCATCAAAGTAGGAGGGTACTTCAAAAAGTTCATGGAAAAAGCTAATTAAAAGATCATTCTAATACTTTCATGGACTTTTTGAAGATCCCTTGTATATAAATCCTGTTTTCTCTATATTATTTCTAAAAGACTAAATCATTTCCGATGTACAGAGCCATAATTTACACAAAACTTTGAGAGGGAACTTCATTAAAATACTTTTAAATTAAAAAGATAAAGACCAAGAGTAATAATGATGTTTCTATCACAAAGTTTTTTGTGGCTTTAGTGTACCAGTCTTCATTTTTCCAGGACACTAACAATTGAAAGTAGAGGGAAATTGCAATACTTATGAATCATTTTTAATGCTGAAAAGGAAAAAAATTTTAATACTAGCACAAAAACAAAGTAACAGAAACATCAGAAAGAAATTTCTTATTAGAGTGATCCTGTTTCTGATGTTCTCTCTGGACACATGGTTCTTCTCTCTGAACATCCCAACATTGCCCTGTGATGGTGTAGCCCTGGGCAACTCAGCAAACCTTCCAGGCTCAGGCAGAAATTTTCCAGTGGCTGGCCAATATGAAGAAATTATCTGAGTAGAATCGATTTAGGAGAATGACACCTGGCTTCTAATGGTTTTATTGCTGGCTGTTATCTTGGGCCATACACTTAATGAATCTCAGGATCCTCATCTGTGAAACAAGAGTAAAATCTACCCACCCTCCCTATTTCACAAAGTACTTATGGGGTACATAAAAATGAGCAGGTTCTGAAGAATCTGTGTAGGGCTTCAATTTCCATATCTTTAACAGAAATGGATGGACTTAATCTGAAGCCTCTTCCAATGTGAACATGATCTAGTTATATGTTCTAACTTTATTATAGGAAATAATTTTTCTTGCTGCCTCACATTGTTAACAGAACATCAGAAAATAAATGTGACATAGGCAAATATAATCCCATTTTCTAACAGGGCACACTAAGGCTTTTCTGAATTACAGAAGTATCAGGCTATTTCTTAAAAAGAGTATTAAATATTTATGCAACATTTGTTCTGGTTTCTGGCCTAGCTACCATTGTGGCAAATAGCTCCCTATATGAAACTTCAACAAGCATTTTGTGAATACAGACCAATGGGGCCTCATCTTATACCCTTTTCTGGGCATGCACCCCCTCAGGCTTCCCTGTTTACCCCCCGTTTCCAGGCAAGTCACAAGAGACTGTGGGCTCCACTTAAAGCCCACTCATGCAATCTAGAATTAACACATTGTGGTAAACAGATCAGTTCTTCCTCCTTTCTCCATGCGTTGTCCTGAGATGCATTAGTCCATCCTGCCTCTGGAAGAGAGGACCCTCGAGATCAAATAATTGTTATGCTTGATCCTAAGTGGTGGCCAATTTGGTAATTCCCTCTGCTCCTTCTCCTTTTCCTCCCTTGATTTAACACTCCTGAAAAAAAGTTGTTGCACATAAACTTTGCTCTTCTGCTCTATTTTTTGAGGAACCTAGACTACATCTAGGAATGGGATTCAGTATCCAATCCAAAACCATATGGACAAACTAAAAGTGAATATTATGAATGTCGTAATTAAGAATATTGTAAACACTTAAGCTTTATAAAAGCTCTAGATGTGTTGTAGTCTAAAGCACAAAGTAATTAGTGTTGTCTTAAGTTAACATAAATTCAATTAAAACACTTCATACAGTAAGAGTATGTATTCATATTTATTTTTGCATGAAGAGGTTACCCAGGTTGGGGGGGGGGGCAGTAGTGAGGTCAGTGGAAATTGGCCATTTTGAAGAACAGCTGGGACAAGACTTTTTAATACCTTTTCTCAATACCTTCTTTTTAAAAATCTTTTTGGAATCATGTCAATATATTATCTGTTTTAAACATTCATAACATTAATGGACCATTTACAGTCAGTATGAAACAGAGATATAAAACTATAAATTCATGATAGAATAACTGGTCTGAAATTGCTCGTAGTTTTATTACAGGCCTCGTAGATTTAGAATCAGAAATTGAGAATAGAGAGCCTTAAATTATAATTAATAGGTGCACATAAATTGATACAAATTGATACTTCACATTTATTTTGTAACTCTCAGATTACAAAAATAATGCATGTCCATTATGGGGGGGGGAATAGAATGTATCAAAAAGTACAAAGAAAATAAAAATCACCTGTAATCACATCACTAAGAGATAAAAAATATATCGGTGTATATACTTCTGGTGTTTTCTAAGTAATATGTTACACACATGTGTGATTTAAAGCCAATAGTTACTAAATTTCCAAACCCAGTTTCTCTAACTGAAGAGAAATAACTAACAGTTTATGATATCCATACTATAGGTGTGAGGTTAGGCATTTCAGAGCCCTTCTCCCTTCATCTTCGCTCCCACACTACGGAGTGGGTAGACATTCCCCATTTTATAGCAAAGGAAACTAAAGATCTAAGAACTTACATAATATTAACATGCCCAAAGGCTCACAGCTACAACATAGCAAAACCAATTTCAAAACCTTATCTATGTATTCTAAAACCCTTGGTTTTTCCATATACCGTGATACTGCTCCCACCATCAGTTTTTTTAAAAACATGATATACAAAACCCTCCTAGATTATGCTGTTACATGTGTTGCATCAAATGACAGAAATGGGAAAACCATACACAACTTGCTTTAAGCAAAAACCAAAAAGAACATTTGACTTTTCAGTGGTTGGAAAGCATAATAGTATTACTCTCTTTACAGTGCTAGAGAATCCTGTCACCACCATCTTCAAAGTTGAAAGGAAAATCATTATTACTGCTAGAAGATATTTATGGCATTAAAAGAATTGAATTGAAAAGAACTGAATGCAGGGAGAAAAATCATTCAAATACAGTTTCTTTAAGCATTTATGAAACTTCACATTTCTTAGAGCTTGAGTCGGTTTTGCTTTTGAATTGACGAATTTTTCCTGGAAAAAATAGGATAACATTGTTAATAGCTAACATTTTTTTAAGCACTTATTATGCGCCAGGCACTATTACTCAATTAACCCCACAACAGCCTTTGAAGTAGACATCTTCATTTTCTTCCCTGGTTAAGTGAGAGCACTGGCACAGTGAGGTCCCAGAACTTGCTCGAGCTCACCCAGCCAGTCAGTGGTGGAGTTCAAGGGTGAGCCCACACAGCCTTAGTTCAGAGCACATGCCCTTCAGCACCTCAGAGGACTGTATCTCAGTCTTTCCTAAGAGTTCTTATACATACTCTTTCACGGGAAAGAATAAATTTAAAGTTGAAGGGAAGACCCCTATGTTATGAGGACATGTCATGGAAGGTAGGCAGCAACCGTGCACTATTCCTTGTGCCTACCACTGCTTGAAACAATACTGGGTCAGTGATCTGATTCACTCATTTATGTTCTCAGCTCCAGGTAAAACTGCTTCAGTGAAAATAATGGCAGATGTCCCTATGTTTTGCTTGAATGGTTGTTATTGCATGAGAGTTATAATGCCCCCTAATGTAGTGATAAGTTTTCACAGCATCTTCCCTGGCAATATGGTCAGTAATTTTGGCACAGTGGTTTTTAACAATAACATCAGCTGGCAATGTAATAGCCTGTCTGCTCTTTCTCTCAACCTAGAGATAACATTGTCAAATATAGTAGCTTGCAGAGTTTTCTAGCACCGGCAAAGCGGCATTTTGAGCAAGACAATTCTTAGTTGTGGAGAACAGTCCCATAACCTTACAAGATGGTTCCTGGCAATATGGTCAGTGATTTTGGCACAGTGGTTTTTAACAATAACATCAGCTGGCAATGTAATAACCTGTCTGCTCTTTCTCTCAACCTAGAGATAACATTGTCAAATATAGTAGCTTGCAGAGTTTTCCAGCACCGGCAAAACGGCATTTTGAGCAAGACAATTCTTAGTTGTGGAGAACAGTCCCATAACCTTACAAGATGGTTTAGCACTCCTGGCCCACCCCATCTCCCCCTGCCCACATATACACATAACAAAAACACTCCCACACTTTTCAAATGCCCGATAGGGAGATGACACTGAGAACCACTGGGCTAAATCAGAACCAGTATTGATTACGTCCCTCACCAAAGAGGAAGCTGCTGGCCTCTTAAAGCCCTGTCCCTAGCTCCAGATTTCTATGAGCCTCAGCTAGCATCAAGCTGGGACTGCTGCTGTTCAGGGTGGGATTTCTGTCAATGGCCACTTACCATTTTAAGGGAGAAGAAGTTTCTATCTGTCAAAAACTGTAACTCACCAGCCAATTCTGGGAAACCTGTGCGCACCAGCTCTTCATACAGGTGCTTGGCCGGATCAGCCTGTGTCATCAGGGCCCCGTGCAGCCAGATGAGCAGAGCCCGGTGGCCATGTTCACGGAAGCTTTCATTTCCTGTGCCAAGTACAAGAGGTCCAAAGTAAAGCACTATGAGCTGATGTCTCTTTCTGTTGTAGTCTCAATTCCAACTGAATTTTCTGTATGTCTGTGGTTCACGTCCATTCTCTTCTGAGAAAGCAAGCCCTTCAGCTCTCCTCACTGGGGCTGCTTTCTGATGAGCAGAGTTTGGGTTCACTTCAGCCCCTGCTGCACATCTGCTGTGCTTGGCACACACTCAAAGGAGTGTACAAGAGACTGAACAGCTGTGGGGCCCAGAGATGACGGGCAATCTGAATAAGGTATGGACCTTCTCGTCACTGTTCAGGCAGCACTGTGCTAGACCAGCACTCCTCAAACCTGAGGTGCATATTTCACCTGGGTACCTTGTTAAAATGCAGATCCTGTCTGAGTAGCTCTGGGTGAGAATCTGCATGTCTAACAAGCTCCCAGCTGCTGCTGCTAGTGCTAGTCCATACCACGCTCTGAGCAGCAAGCACGGACCATACCTCCACTCCAGTTTCAAGGAAACTCCTCTGATGGAAGTCTGCATCCCCTGGGCCAGGAATATTCATTTGGTAAGTACTCACTGGATACCTTGCCCCTGAGAGGTATTGGTGAACGTGCCAGGATTGTTGCTCCTGACAGGAATTCACAGTTACACACACCCAACAGGCTTCCAGCTCTGTGGGAGTGTGTGCAGGACCAGACAGATGCCACCAAGGGGAGGGCCTGCACTCTGGGAAGAAACTTCCCTGGGCAGATAGCGCACGTACTCCTGGGTAAATCTCTGTTCCTTTTCTAATCTTGCTCCTGACAAACTAATTTTTCTTAAATACTGTCATCAATATTTCACTCCTTTGCTCAAAAGCCCAAAAACTCCCTGGTGCTAGTATCCTTACCTTGGATTACAATATAATTGGATTGTGAATGTCAT